GCGTGTTTCTGTGTTTCATGAACTCTTCAAGGGTTTTTAAATAAAAAGTCCTTATTGGTAGGCTTCAGGAAAATTATTAGTGAAAAGGTCATTCAAAATAAAGGTCTCCAAGAACTTATCATAAAATAATTAATAATTTTTTTAATAGAACGAGATAACTCTGACTTGAACAAGTCAACAGAGAGCTCATCTAACAATTTTGTCAGAAAGGACCATTTCCTTTTATTGATAAGACAAGAAATGTTCAGATTCTTAAAGCTTGCTATAACTAGGATTCAATAGTTAAATATTTCCAAATAAATTCAAACTGAAATTTTAGTAGAATAATGAATTATTCTGGAGATGACGCAGTCTGCTTGATACAGCAATTTATTAAAGTAAAATAATCAGCTTAAGAACTGGACCAAGTCTATTTTATGCAATAATTTACAGGTAACTTTGACATGTTTTGGATTGGGGATGGGATATCCCTTGTCAAGGCTGCCTTATCCAGAAACAATCCCATTATCTCATGCTGGTTAGTACCTGAAGTTTAAAATATCAATATTTAGTCACGGAATTTTGTAACGTTCGTAAGCTAAAATTGCCGACTGGAGGACCTGTGTGCTTGATCGGATCACTGCAAACACGGGTTTTGTCTCTTCGTAAGTCGAATTGACCAATCCCATATAATCCTTATCGACCTGAATTATATCTTTGACTTTTATATGTCTCCTTGACCCACTTCTTTGATCGATTTGTTGGATAATTTAATACTTTAAATTATCGAATTTTTCATGTTAAATCATCAAGAAATACAAGAATTAAAGCGGAAGCGTATCTGAATCAAACATGGTTAATGTAATATGAATTTCACGGTATAGTCTTCAAAATCTACACGCAGTCTCCTTTTTCTCTCTGTGCTGGGATGCAGTAGAGAATGAATAATACGTGCGTGTGATCTGGGGACCATAACCTATTTATATAGGGACGCCCTTTGACCTAATTCGGCCCATCATAGAATTAGGATTTGGGCTCGGTCTCTACATATATGTAAATACATACTTTAATTGGATACATTAAAACCCAAAATCGAAGTCTTATTAAATCACTTTAATTGTGCTCAAACGAATTCGATAGCCTATAATTTAACACACAATTATTCACACATACAAACCCATCCATTGATTAAAAAATTATTACGATCTCCCACTTGGGCTATATGTGTCACCTTATAATTGTGCATTAAATATAACCTTATGAGTACTCAGAATTTTGCTATCATTACCGAATGTATCCCCAACAATCACGTCCATCAATTATATCAAGATAGGATCAAAGCAGCTTTCGCTACTTTCACGTAGCTAAACCTATCAATGGTCACGTATATCAATATAATCGAATGACATGAATCAAGCATGGATGTATAGAACGAAAATTACACGTAATGTGATCTGTAACATGCCTATTTCCAACTGGTCCACCTTAATATCTTAGTGAGATCATTTTACACAAGTTCAGAGATAATAAACCAAATAACTTTATAACTGAAAATAACATTAAATGGTATCCAAAATAACAGTATATATGTCCAATATGAAAAGCAAAAATACAAACTCCCACTGAAACTAGATATATTCAAGAGACATTATACAAATATGAGCAGTTTGCTCATGAAAGACCTTGGGTATCAATCCCTTAGTAAGCGGATCCGTAACCATGGAGTTTGTCCTAATATGCTCTATTGACACCTGTCCACTTTGAACTCTTTCTTTAAGAGCCAGGAACTTGATCTCTATATGTTTTGACTTCGTCGAGCTCCTGTTGTTATTAGAATACAACACTGCTGATTTATTGTCACAAAGTATCTTAAGTGGTCTTTCTATATTGTCCACAATGCGCAGCCCAGTAACAAAATTATGCTGCTATATTCCATGATTTGATGCCTCAAAACACGCTATAAACTCCGCTGCCATGGTGGAAGTAGCTATTAGTGTCTGCTTGGCACTCTTCCATGAAATAGCACCTCCAGCAAGCAAGTAAATATAGCATGAAGTGGATCTCCTACTATCTTGGCATCCCGCGAAATCGGAATCAGAATAACCAATGATCTCCAACTGATCCGATCTCCTGTATGTGAGCATGTAGTCTTTTGTTCTCTGTAAATACCGCATGACCCTTTTGGCTGCTTTCCAATGATCCATTCTCGGGTTACTTAAATATCTCCCTTGCATCCCAACAATGTATGCTATATCTGGACGCGTACAAACCTGAGCATACATCAGACTTCCTATAACTGAGGAATAAAGAATCTTCTGTATTTCTTTAATTTTCAAGTCATTTTTAGGGCACTGACTTAAGTTGAACTTGTCTCCTTTAGCAACAGGGGTGTCACATGGTTTACAATCTTACATGCCATATCTTTTAAGTACCTTTTCGATATAGCACTTTTGTGATAATCCAAGAATACCCCGAGAACGATCTCGGTGTATCTGAATTTCTAATACAAAAGAGGCATCACCAAAATCTTTCATCTCAAAATTCTTTGCTAGAAATCTCTTGATTTCGTGCAATAAACCTATATCGTTGCTGGCAAGCAATATGTCATCGACATATAAAACTAGAAAAATATACTTGCTCCCACTGAACTTGTGGTAGATACAATCATCGACCAAATTCATCTCAAAATCAAATAAGATGATCACCTGATGAAACTTGTAATACTATTGACGAGACGCCTGTTTGAGTCCATAGATGAATTTCTTTAATTTACAAACCATTTGCTTTGCATCATCCGATACAAAGTTTTCTGGTTGTACCATATAAATTGTTTCATCAATGTCACCATTGAGAAATGTTGTCTTAACATCCATCTGATGTAGCTCAAGATCGAAATGCGCTATCAATGCCATTATAGTCCTGAAAGAGTCTTTCAAAAAAATCGGAGAGAAAGTCTCTTTATAATCGATGTCTTCTTTCTGTGTAAAGCCCTTTGTGACAAGACGAGCCTTATACCTCTCTACATCACCTTTCGAATCCCTCTTGGTCTTAAATATCCATTTGCAACCAATGGGTTTCGCACCTTCAGGCAATGGAACGAGGTCCCATACGTCATTGTCCTTCATGGACTTTATCTCTTCATTCATAGCATCAAGCCACTTTTGAGAGTTAGAACTTTTCATGGCTTGACGGAAGTTGATCGGATCATCTTCCATTATTCCAATGTCAACTTCATGTTCTTGAAGAAATACGATGTAATCATTCGAAACCTCACTTCTCCTCTCTCTAGTGGATCTTCTTAATGACATTGGTTCTTGAGGTTGTAGAGTTTGTTCTTCTGGAACAATTTGTTGATCTTGAGAGGGAGGTATGACATTGTCTTGATTCAGAGTCGCTTCTTGAACAATATCAGGGATAGAAACCTGATCATTGTCAATGGCAATTGGAGGAATTTCAACATATTGCTTCTCAAAGACAAAGCCTGTAACCCTTTCTCCCTCCACAAACTCAACATCCTCAAAGAACCTAGCATTTCCTGTCTCGAAAATTGCGTTAGTTGTGGGATCATAAAACTTGTAACCCCTGGACCTTTCAGAATATCCAATAAAATAGCAACTGATGGTCCTTGCATCAAGTTTCTTTTCATTTGGCTTATAGGGCTTTGTCTCAGCTGGACACCCCCAAATATGTATATGCTTCAAACTAGGCTTCTTGCCCATTCAAAACTCATATGGGGTTTTATTAGTGGCCTTAGTTGGAACTCTGTTGAGTATATAAGCTGCGGTCTTTAAAGCTTCACCCCAGAGAGATTCTGGTAAGGTAGAATGACTAATCATACTCCTCACCATGTCCTTAAGCGTTCTGTTTCGTCTCTCAGCAACACCATTCATAGTGGGCGAACCCGGCATAGTGTACTGTGAGACAATACCGCATTCCTCTAGGAATTTAGCAAACGGTCCAGGACGCTGTTCACCTAAACCGTCATATCTGTCATAGTATTCACCCCTACGGTCAGATCTGACGCTTTTAATCCTTTTGCCGAGTTGGTTCTCAACTTCAGCTTTATAGTTTTTGAACACATCCAGTGACTGTGATTTTTTATGAATGAGATATATGTAGCCATATCTTGAAAATTCGTCTATGAAAGTTATAAAATATTGTTGATCATTCCAAGAACCCATAGGGAATGGTCCACAAATATCCGTATGTATAAGTTCTAAAACGTCCGAAGTCCTATTGGCCTGAAACCTCCTTTTATTGGTTTGTTTTCCCTTTATACAGTTGACATACAAATCATAATCTGTGAAGTCAAGAGGGTCGAGAATCCCGTCAGACACAAGTCTCTCAATTCTCCTTTTAGAGATGTGACCTAATTTCTTGTGCCACAA